GTTTCATGGTCCGAGTAGACTTTGAAGTGCCTCCCAAGCAGGTAGTGCTTCCAATGGTCTAAAGCCTGCCTGAGGGCGTAGAGTTCTCTTTCGTACGTGGAGGTAGCGACTTTCTCACAAGGCATCCTCGCGGACATGAACTCTACGGGTCTATAGCCATTGTCGTCATCTTGTTGCAACACGACGCCTATCCCATACTGACTCGCGTCCGTGGTGACGACAAATGGCAAGGACGGGTCTGCAACCTTGAGGACAGGATACTCTATTAACGCGTGCTTTAACTTTTTGAGCGCAGATGTACAGTCTTTATCCCATTGCCAGATTGTCTCTTTCTTCAACAACCTGCGCAAGGGAGCGGCGATAGTGGAGAAGTTCCTCACGAACTTCCTGTAGTAGTTAGCTAAGTCTAGGAACGACCGCAACTCTGACAATGTGCGGGGAGTCGGCCAGTCTCTGATCGCCGCGATCTTGCTGTCCTCTGGCTTAATGCCATCTCCGTCCAACACGTGGCCCAAGTATAAGACTTGCGTCTTGGCCCACTCGCACTTCTTCGCGTTGATCTTGAAGTTAGCCCCTCTAAGCTTCTCCAAGACCTGCCTCAGATGACCCTGGTGCTCCTGGAGGGTCTTACTAAAGACTAGGATATCATCTAAGTAGACTACCACAAATTTATCTAACCACGGTCTAAACAAGTCATTCATGCAACGCTGAAAAGTAGCTGGCGCGTTGGTCAGTCCAAAGGGCATCACTATAAACTCATAATGCCCATATCTAGTCCGGAATGCAGTCTTGTACTAATCATCAGGATGGACTTCTATCTGATGGTATCTGGACTTTAAGTCTATCTTAGAGAAATACTTACAACCCTGTACTCGATCTAAAAGATCGTCTGTCCTGGGCAGCGGCTCAGCATTCTTCACTGTGATCGCGTTCAAACCCCTTTAGTCTATACACATACGAAGCTCTCCTTCCTTCTTGGGGACAAACAAAACGGGTGCTCCAAAAGGAGACGAACTGGGCCTGATCCAACCTTTCTCAAGGAGTTCCTCTAACTGTTTGCGGAGCTCCTCTAACTCTCTAGGGGACATCCTATAGACTGCACCCTTAGGAGTTCTACTACCAGGCTCTATCTCTATCCTGTGCTGGATGGGTCGCGACACTACTCTTGTCGGCGACTCAGTCAAGTCTTTGAATTCTTCCAGCAGCTTGGCAATTGTTGGATCTGACGAACTATCCTTTTCCTGGGCCTCAGTGACACGTCTGACATATACTACAAAGACCTGATCTTCTAACTGCTCCTTCTTTACTAATCGCGCGAATGCGGGAGCACTGAGACAACAATGCGTCAAGGTGTTATCTACACCAGACACATGGAACAAGCGGGCAGTCTTAACTTCGCCCGCCGGACTAGGGAGCCTACACTCATGTTCTCTCAAATGAAGTGTAGCCCCTGCTGCCTCTCCCCAATCCATTCCTAACACTATATCGAAAGAAAGGTCATTTTGTACGAGGAGAGTTAGGAATGGAGAACTTTCTCCACCTTCCCATCCTTCTCTAGGCGAAAGTACGCCTGAACTCCCTCTACATAGTCCTCAACACGCATCGTGCGGTTGTCTGCGAGGACACTGACTATGAGGTCAACTCATTTCTGGACCTTTAGTCCTAGCCTCAGCTTCTTCAGCGCCCTACGGCTAATATAACTACGGGTAGCCCCTGAGTCTATGAGGGCCCCTACTCTACTCCTAAACACCTCTACATCTACTAAGATCAATTGTCCCTTACTCTCCTTTTTCATTTTGGCCCAAGCTGGCATCCTCTCCTTTAACTCTTCTGCCACACCTGTGAGGGACGTGCCTAAGGAGACGCTAACACAAGCAGTCTCTGGATAGCTATCTAGGCACGGGCCTGCAACCTCTGCCATAGGCTCATGTGGGTTGGGAGTGTCCTGTTCGCGCGCGCTCACTTCTCCACATGGCCTTGAAGTAGGGGCAGTTGCCACCCCTACTGGCGGCTGCCTTTTGACTGCTGGGCAGCCCAACGGGCCGTTTATACTTAGGACAAAATTTAATTACGTGCGCCGGGTCACCACAAAATACGCACTGACCCATGTTCACGCGTTCCTGCCATAATTGCCGGTCCAAGCCCAAGTCTTCCCAGGGCCTGCCCTGTGGCAAGCCTGGGTGCCAACCTCCTTGAGGTGCCCTTCCACCTCTTCGTTGTGGGGACCGATTACCCTGGCGATTTGACGGGGGACCTTGACCCCTACCTCCCGCTTGGCGGTTTCCCTGTCCGCCAACCCCCTGTGCGCCCGGTCCTCAACCTCCCATGGCCTGGCCCCTTTGGCCCTGGCCTCCTCCTCCTCCTTGCGGCCTCCCTCTAGCTGCGACAGCAGCGTAAGACCTCCCCTGCCCCACACTACTGCCATCATCTTCAAGGCCCCACTCAATCTGATCATATGGGACCTCATCGGTACCACCTTCTTCTAATGTCAGGATCATGTGATCCTTGGCCTTTACTTGGCCTAAGATGGTACGATTCTTCCACTTCTTCCCCTTCTCTAAGTCCTTATGCCAGAAAGTGGTAACTGGCATAGACTTCGACTCATACAGGACGACTTCGCGATTCAATTGATCGTATGTGATGCCGGCCTGCTGAGACTTGTCAAAGAAATGCCCACGTAGAGCCTTTGGAATGGCACGATAAAACAACTGAACCAGCTGGGGCTCAGTGACCCCATGGTCTGGGACGGCTACCAAGTCGTCCATGGTACCCTTGAGTGCCTTGGCACTCCTCCACTGCCGTGAGTGGATCGTTTGAAGCTTGTCAGAGGCTCTTATGCCTCTCGTTGGGTCAGCGAAACGCTCCTTGAGGAGCCTGAGGAATTGGGAAAGAGGGGTGACTTTAGAATATGCAACCAGGTTGTTTTCACAACCGGCTGTACGCGCGAGAGACCTGGCGAAGCTAGTCGCGTCGTCCTTCAGGGCCTGGAAGGCCACAAGGACTTGCTCCTCCATCAGGATATGCTGTAAATAAATGTAACTATTGACACTGGCCTCCCAGTTGTC